CAGGAGACCAGTTGAACAGCCGCCTCCATCACATCAACAACCTCATCATGCCCAGCCAAGTAACCCTGGTAATGAGCAGGAGGAAATAGAGATTGCTGGCAATCCCATCAATGTATTCACATGAATATAAGTATCAATTTGTTCTGCAATAATTTCATCTTGCACAAATAAGATTTGTTGACCTTGTGTTTTATGAAGCAATATAATGTACAGTTATTATTTATTTCTTACAATGTAATCTAAGGAACTCATGCTGGGATACAGCCTCATTTTATTTAATTTACCTGTGAGATAGATTGAGCTGAAAAAAGTTACTATTAATAATTGAAGGGGTATTTAAATCTGAGTCTTCCTAATCCTAACCTTGTTAGTATTATATCACATCAGAATTCTGTTGTTAGAAGAATCATAACATACATGGGTGAAATGTGTGGGGTGGGGCCTGTGTTAAAAGAAAAGCAGAGTGACAGGGGGAAATGTAACATAACTGGAAAGACTATGCTAGTTGATGCAAAACAAGCCATTCTACTCCCACATTTTATTCATCTGATATTAAAAGGCAAGAATTTTATTGTAGATGAAGGCTGCCAATATTGTGTGCAAAGCTGGAGTGATCATTTGTAATATTAGGCAAAATAAACAGTTGTAGTCATTCAAAATATGAAAATAGTAGGACTAATAATTGTAAGAAAAGATGTTGGTAATAGTTTCCATTTTCATATAAACTATATTCTGCTCAGTTAATCTGTTCAGTTTTATTATAATCACTGACCAGTATTCAAATTCATACATAGACCATGAAGAGCCAATAAAAAATTCAAATAAAATTAAGGCTTAAAACTATTAATTTTTAATAAGCGCACAAATTGCTCCATTTGTTTACAAATAATTCCCCAAAATCATGATATGAGGCTCAAAAAACAGCCAGAGGGAATTTTGCAGCATGGTGGGTAATGTCATTCCACAAATAAACAGCACAAATTATTTAATATTGCAGGAGTTTTAAAAACATAATGACAAATAGAAACAAAGATGAAAGCAAATTCCTTTAATAGATTTTGTTGTCTCAAGGTAGCTTTTCAACTTGTGAATGTGGCATCTCAGAGAACATTTTCATCAGGAATTTTGCATTGATGGTTATCCAGTGCAGATTCAAGTTCTAATCAATGGTTAACAATGTCTTTGTGTCCGTCTGCCCCCCCCCCCATTCTAGTTTATCATCAGCAGCCATCACAACAACCAGCCTCTCAGTCCTATGGCTTTAAGGAACCAGCAGCACCAGTGTCAATACAGCGTAGTGCCCCAAGTGGAGGAGGAGTAAGTATGATCCTTCATATACAATATCTTGTAAATATTTCAGATTTTTATTCTGAAATAAGTAGTCTTAACTCTTAACTACTATCCAATGATGTGGTCTATCTCCAAAGTTTAGGTGAAGACAGGAGGAAAGGTACTTTCATGTCAGAGAATATCTTAAGCAAACTTACTTTAATTGCAGCAATTAATGTACATTATTGGAAAGGAATAATTTTGCAAGTCTAATCTCTGCATGTGAAGCTACAGAAGGCAGCTCAAAATACTGTGATATTTAGCCTCCAGCTGTCTATTGATTCTCTTATTTTAGCTGAATCTTAAACTTATGGTTCCTTCTTTTTTAACCCTTGTTCAGTTAGAAAAGTCTCAGATAATAAGGAAAACTTTTAATTCAAGTTTCATTCAGTTCATGCTGATCTGCAGAACAATGGAGCACAGTTCATCTGTAAACCAAACAGTAAGACCAAAGTTTCTCCAAAATGGATAGTGTGTAGCATTTCTAGGTGTTGTGCCTGTTCTTTTTAATTTTTTATATTTCAGTTTTGTAAACAATAATACAGGAAATAACAATTTTAAGTATAATATATAAAACAACATGAATTCTGCTTGCATGTAATAATAGGGGGGTTATCATAAGAGTTAGCATTTACCAGAACAAACCAGAAATGCTATTTGGGATGGGAGCTAATAGGAGCCAAATGTTTACATCTCTCTTTTCACACTTTTCAATAGGTTGCTGGAGCAATGGAAAAAGGAGGCATAGCATTGGAACTGCACAATATTCTTTTTCCCACTGTCAGATTGTTTCTAAACAATCAGTTAAGCAGCAAACATTAGAGAATGTGGAGCAGGAAGACTTAAAAATCCTTTGCTGCAATCTGCAGCAACTTATAGCACTGGGGGGAGGGGACAGAACTATAGAGGAAGACATAGAACATATTAAAATTTCCTGGAATAAGTGGCTACCCCGGCAGATAATTATGTGATTTTTATTTAGCCTATAGGTTGGGTGCCTTCCTATCTTTTATCTCTGAGAGACATGCATTTACCACTAATTCCACTTTGTTGTTGATATGCTTTCATGCTTGGACATAATAATGTAAAAAACAGTGAGTTGTATGATAAGGGTGTAGTGAGCAACAGGAGAATGTAGAAACCTTAGGAAACAAGGGGATCTTGTTAATTTGTAGTTTGTAAGATGCCTAGCAAGAAAAAGTGATACTCTTTCTTTTTTGCTTGGTTTTCATTTTCTGCAAAAAACAACAACAACAAAACCCCAACCTTTCCTAATAGTGGGAAATTCAGATTATTTGTTAACAAGGGTGGACAGAGAAATAAACTCTTCTATCAGCCTCTATCTGTAGACGCTTAACCATACACCCTGAACTTTCTTGAAGCTCCTGGGTTGCACAAATATTACCAAATAAAATTCATTGAACCTAAATATATAAATCATTTTGTGTGTGTGTGTGTGTGTGTGTGTGTGTGTGTATGTACACACACGCACGCACACACACCACAGTTTTGGAAATATCCATTTCTGAGCATTGATTTATACTTTACTTCCTTCTCTTCCCCTTCTCCCAGAAACGGTTCCGTGCAGTCTATGATTACAGTGCAGCCGATGAAGATGAGGTCTCCTTCCAGGATGGTGATACCATAATCAATGTGCAGCAAATTGACGATGGCTGGATGTATGGCACCGTTGAACGGACCGGTGACACAGGCATGCTTCCAGCTAACTATGTGGAGGCTATATGAGCTCTGTTGTAGTGCTACCCTGAAAGCCAGCAGGGCAAGGGCTCTTTGGGGTTTTTGTTCCCTTATTACTTCTTTGCTCTATCTTGTTACCCATCATTTATTATGTTATGAATCTTTGAAATGGTCATCTTTTTCTCTACCAATTTAGCCTTGATTTGGAGGCATACGAACTTGGGAGGGGTATCATGTAATTGCCCTTCCATCCTTTTCCTCAGCCTTCATGGAACATAGCACTGTGCCCTTCTCCCTCTTCCTGGAGCTGTATTTTTTAGAATTGATACTTAATTAAATAAATCCTACTTCAATTGCTACATGGATTGGGAAGTAGTGTGGGAAGGTTTAAAAGATGTTTATTTGGCTGGTGGGGAAGGAGGGGAATGTCACACTTTCAGTAACTTGGGGAAAATCTGAGCAATTTACTGAAAAAAATTATCAGGATCTCTGCAATGTTGACTCTTGCTCATTTATTCTATCTAACTTTCTGTGAATTTTAAAATATCCATTTGAAAGAAATGAAAGTATTTGTCAAAAGGTTTTTGTGGACTCAAAGCAGTGAGCATATATATAGTCTATATGGAAGGTATGGACGCTGCAGCAGTTTCTAACATAAAGGTACTCTGTACAGATGGAATAGTTTAGCACAACAATCCTCAATCTTTGCAGACTGGTAGGGATGGGCAAGGGATAGGAAATCATTACGCGCAAGTGGTTAGTGAACACGTGTGCGCAGCCCCATTTGTACGAGTGGCGGGCACATGTGCCTGCTGCTCAAATGGAGCTGCGCCATACTCATGCAAATATAGCTGTGCATGCACATTTGCCCACCACTTCCATGGCCCGGTTCCGAACGAGTTAAGGCCCGGTAGTGGGCCAGGGATTGGGACCCCTGGTTTAGCAGGCTTGATTAGCGTTGCCTCTTAGATGCCATGACTCAGTCAGAGTAGATTTCTAGTTCGTTCCGATATGTGGCTTGATTGGACAGCAGTCAGAAGAATGCTCATGAAGAGTTGCCACTAGACCATTTAACCTGCCTATCTCGAAGATGTCAAGAAAATTCAGTTGCCTTTTTCAAAGCACTTTTGAAACAACTATGATCAGGATAGAGGCTCCTTTTTCCCGACTTCTAACTCTTGTTGGTATTTAATGTGTGGAAATAGGCAAATTCCCCAAATTTCCCTGTATCAGCCCTAGCAAAAAGAATCACACTTTCTACAGAGGTGCTATCTTTGGGACCACATTTTTGTTTTTCATAAGTTTCTGTTCAAAGTAAATTCTTGTATGAGGGATTTTTTTTTAACTAGGACTCAAAATCTTGTCAGCTAGTAGGCAGATTAAGAAACATCTCCCTCTTTCCTTTGTGTGCCATTTGAGCCAAGCAATGTTTACAGTCTATCCTCTTTTCCACTGTTTCTCCCTGATAGACCTGATCCTTCGGCGGTCATCAGGGGAACAAAAAGTCCTTTCACTAGAAATATTCCACTTTCTCCTCCTTTGCTGTCAGGTTGACAGTTTCTTTGCTGTGTGGGATAAAATCATGGACCAAAATCAAATTTCTTATAGAAGTTTGCTATTAAAAAATATCAGGGAACTGCTACAAAACTGGAAGTTTATGTTGCTTGGATAATAAGATTGAATCACAAAGGCAAGAGGATTACTGAAAGTGTGAAATTCTTAGATCATTTATTGAGTAGAAATTGCTTTCTCTTATTTTTAAAGCTTTCCCAAGACTCACCCCCTGCTCAGCAAAAGTACAACCTGCTCCCTGTCACATAGCAGAAAGTATCCTGAAAGCTGATATTTGTAACATTTAAATATGCTACAGTTATCAAAGGCACATTCTTTCTGGCTTTGTTCTTGTTACCTCCACTGTAAAGGATCAATATGATAAATTCTTACTACTTTAAATTTTTTTGACGTTCCAGAGCTGATTGATATTGTTTTTTGATCATTGCTTCCCCCCCTTGCATAGAGGAGGCATGGTAAAGGGCTGGCATTATCTCTGTATTATTTCCACTTATTTCCAATTATATTGTTTCTGGGACTTTTTTCCTTAACTTTCTTTGCACTACAAAACATATACAGTTAAGAATAAAAAGCAACCATCTCTTACAAGGGGTGCAAGCAAGGGTATTCATTAAGCAAGAATTAAGGAGAACCTTTTACCTCAGTGTATAGTTCCTCCAAATTTAAGTAAAGGGATGTTCCAGTATTTTACTCTGGTCTTGTATCTTTCATAGTTAACATGTTTGCTGGTTTGATTTGAGCTCGTTGCCTCATAACATTAAGAAGCTCTTATACATTATTCCAATCAATGTAGAAATATTTATCAAATTATCAAGTCATTCTTTTCGTGTTGTAGAAGCACAAACATTTTAGAGTCTTATTTCTTAAAAATCCTAGTCTGTGTTTTTCCCTTAAATGCTTGCACTAGTGAAAAAGGTGTTCAAGGAAGGAGTGTCTGTTTCCTCATACCATAGTATAATTCCATGAACTCTGTTGGAGCCACTAGAGAGGCCAGTGAGAATGGTGGCAGGCTTTCCTGTCAGAGGCAATTTGTAGAGGACTGTAGGTGTCCAGGGACCACTTACTCTTGGGGTGAGTTTTTAAAGGGTGTCCAGAGGAATGATTGATGAGATCATCACATCCTTGGTGCTAAGATGTAAGCACAAGCTAAAAAAAGCAGCTGTTTTTCTGACTGATGAGAATTAGGCAAAATCGTGTGGACAATCCTGCAGAGGCTATCTTTTCATGAGGAAGATACAAAGTGACATAATGTGAATAAATATTTTTAGAGGACCAAATAAAATTACAATAAAATAGCTCATCTTTAAAAAATGTCTTCTAGCTTTTTCACCCCTTCCTTGAAATAAATGGTTTGTCATTGCTTGATTTATTTTCCCTCGCCTTCTTTGAATTATGCACTTTTATCTTTGATTTTTTCCAATATCTGAAAAGCACCTAAACCTGTATTTAAATAAATAAATGAAAAAAGAGAAAGAACAGCTAAAATGCATCTCTGTAGCCATTGTTATTCACATCATGTCTTCTGTACATCTTAGATTTTCAAACTAGACTTCAATGTCTAAATTAATGACTTTAATTATTTGTTTTGAACTATATTTTGGGGTTTTCATTTGTTCTC